GTGGGTGCTGGCAGAATCAGGCCCCCCAACCCTGGCTTGGAGGGCTTCTGGGAGGAGGGTGATGGGGGTGCCTGGCCTGAGCATCCCCCCAAATCTGGCAGGAAGGGATGGGGAAGCGTTGCCCCCCCTGGGGTGGATGATGCCAGCTTGCTCCCACTTCACAGAGCGGCACAAGTGATGCTCCGTGAGCACCCAGGGCTGGTCCCAACATCTCCAACATCACCAGTGCACAGACAGTCTCCATGGAGACCAGCTCCCCTAATCTTCCTCAAAATGATGCTAATTTTGGGCAGGGCTGAGGGGAGATGTTGGGGACCCACATGCCAGCTGCCTGTACCCCCCCTTCCCCTGGTTCCATCCATGCCGGGGTGCAGCAGGGGCTGCTCCGGGTGTCCCCACGCAGCGGGTGCCGGGTGATTCACCATCAATGCTCATTTACACAGTGACTAACGAACCCCGCGGCAGGGTCGAGCGGGCAGGTGTGTGGGCAAGAACCACCCACTTTCTTCACCCCACTGCAGCCCCCTACACCAAACCATGGTCCCACAACCAGGTCACCCCAAAACATCCTCCGAACTGGTGCAGCTGCAAGTTCTGCACCGGCCAGAGATGCTGCTCAGAGTTGAATGTGCCAAAAACACCCATTGGCACCATAATCCTGTGGCAGTGCCATGGGTGAGTGTGGTGCTTGGATGGAGGGCTGTGAAATTGGGTGCTGGAGCTCTGGAGCAGCTCTCCGTGTCCCTTGTCCCCAGCCTGGTGTCAGATGGGCTCGGTTCATTCACATATGGCCAAGTGGTGCTGCCAATTCCGGCACAGAAAAGGCACCGACGTGCTGAGATGAGTCTCCCCAGGATGGCAGAGCTGGAGGCAGCTGCGTGTGGCTGAGGGAGCTGCTGTCCCTCAAGATTGTCCCCCCCAAGTTCCCCCATCCACAGCAGCATCTCCTCTGTATTCCACGGTGAAGCAGAGCAGATATTTGGGTCGCTGTCCTCCCACGTGCCACAGCTATCGAGCCCACTGTGTCCCTGGAGTCTCCTTGGGGATGCTCTTCTTCCCCAGTAAGACCCAGTGCCTAACCAGTAGGTAGCCATCCAGGGTGTTAGCGTGCACCACCAGCCAAATCTCCTGTGCTTTAGCAACGAGATCCCACAGGCATCGATCCCCTGATCTTTTCTCCTGTTGGAATATGGGTGAAAACCATCTCTGCATCCACAGGAGAGGTCCCTGGGGCGGGGATGACCCCAAACCAATGGGTATCAACCAAGCAACAAGGGACAGGACAAGAGGAAATGGGCTCAAGTTGCCCCAAGGGCAGGTGAGATGGGATGTGAGGAAGAATTTCTTTGCTGAAAGGGTTCTGAGGCATTGGAAGGGGTTGCCCAGGGCAGTGGTGGAGTCCCCATCCCTGGAGGGATTGAAGAGTCGTGTAGACACAGTGCTGAGGGACATGGGTTAGTCGGGGACTTGTCAGTGTTGGGTTCATGGTTGGACTCGATGAGCTTAAATGACTTTTCCAATCCAGGCAATGCTGGGGTTCAATCCCTGACTCTGTATCGACAGTCACCGTCCTGGTACCCGCTGCCGCCAGCCCCGCTCCTGCCAGCAGCTCAGTACTTTTCCAGCTATAGATACCATATGCTCCGTCCCCATCCCATCAAATCCCATCTCCAACTTGCCTTTGAGACCGAGCCAACAGCCCTGAGTCCACCTGTCTTGAACTAATTCTGTTTGGGGACGTGGTGTTCTCCTCATTTTCTATAGATCTCCTTCACAATGCCCCAGCCCGGCAGCAGCAGCTCGTGTTTGTGTCAACCCCACACAAAACAACCACCTGGGGTCACTGCCAGGGCTCACCCCGACCCACCACGCTGCCCCACGGACAGTCCTGCCCCACAAACCCCATTTTTTTTGAAAACCCAAAGGAATATCTGATTTTCTAGCTGGAAAATAAAGCCCAAAGCGGGAAGGAAGCGTTGTTCACGCGCTCGCACCGATGACCGAGCTCCAAATCTTCTCCTTTCATCTTCATGTGGTCACTTCAAAGTCTCCAGCTCGGGAAATATTTGCCTCTGTTGGCTTGGTCCCGGGCATGTGGGTGGATAGAAGTATTTGGTGTTGAATGTTACAGCTCCTACGAGCTCGGGACATGTCACGGCGTCAGCAGACACCCGGCACCAGGGCCAGCGGCCAAACTGTGCCATGGGAACCCAGCCACCCGGAGAGAAGGACTTGGGGGGTCTTGTTGGGTCAAATCCATGAAGTTGCTGCTCTGGAGCTGGTTTGAAGTGGGGTCCTTCCCTCTGCCATTATCAAATCCATGAAGTTGATGCTCCAGAGCTGGTTTGAAGCAGGGTCCTTCCCTTTACCATGGTCAAATCCATGAAGTTGCTGCTCTGAAGCTCTTTTGAAGCGGGGTCCTGCCCTTTACCATGGTCAAATCCATGAGGCTGATGCTCCAGAGCTGGTTTGAAGCCGAGTTCTTCCCTTTACCATAGTCAAATCCATGAGGCTGATGCTCCAGAGCTGGTTTGAAGCCAGGTCCTTCCCTTTGCCATGGTCAAATCCATGAAGCTGCAGCTCTGGAGCTCGTTTGAAGAAGGGTCCTTCCCTTTGGGAATGGGGATGGGAATGGGAATTGGGATGGGAATTGGGATGGGAATGGGGATGGCAATGGGGATGGGAATGGGAATGAGATGGGAATTGGGATGGGAATGGGGATGCTCCCAACACCACTGCAGCAGCTCCCTGGCTGCCTTCCCCTGCCCAGGTCCCTGCAGATGACTCGGGGCTCCCGGCTGCTATTCCCAGTCACCCCTGACTCCCTCATTTCCCCTGGGCCAGTCCCTTCCTTTTCCTTTGTCACTCCAGTCACCAGAGATGAGGGGAATCACTGCACAACCTCCAGACAAGAGCTCCTGAGCGGGTTGGGGACACGGCCTGAGCCAGCCTTGGCACAAACCAGTCACTGGGGGAACACCGAGCTCTGCTCCCGACAGCGGAGACACCGTCGTGCTGGTGCATCCTCCTGGGGGGGGGAGGATGGAGCCAGCGCTGGGGATGAGGGATGAGGATCCCACCTAGGTCAGTGGGATGTGACACACTCCAGCATCCATCTGGGACCAGCTTTAGTCAAGATCTAGGACCAGGTTTAGTCGACCCCTGGGGTCCAGGTTCATTCAAGCCCTGTGGTCCAGGTTCATTCAAGCTCTGGGACCAGCTTTAGTTGAGCCCTGGGACCAGCTTTAGTCAAGATCCAGGATCAGGTTTATTCAAGCCCTCAGACCAGCTTTTGGGACCAGGTTTATTCAAGCTCTGGGACCAGCTTTAGTTGAGTCCTAGGACCAGCTTTAGTCAAGACCCATATCAGGTTTATTCAAGCCCTCAGACCAGCTTTAGTTGAGCTCTTGGACCAGCTTTAGTCAAGATCTAGGACCAGCTTTAGTTGAGCCTACAGGAGACGCATCAGCTTTGTTACAACGCTGCCACTTGGGTATTAAAAATGAGATTCTTCTCACCTTTTCTACCAGAAAGCCTCACCTGGAGAGGCAGAGTAGGTGGCCAAGACACAAACAAGAGGATTCCAGAGGAAGAAGAGGGTATGAAGGGAAGGATTTTGCAGGAAGCCCCAACAACATCACCCTGCCTGCTCCCTGCTCCCCCCCGAGCTGCCGACACAGGAGAAAGCCAGCTGGCAGCAGGGAGCCAACGCCAGCAGAGCGAGGGACATCACGGCCAAGGACAGAGGGACAAAGCTGCTCTCTAAGGAAACTGCCAGCAGATCACAAACACCCAGCCAGGGCCAGGGCAGGCAGCGTTTGGATTTCAAGGTCTCATCCAAACAACCCACCCACAATGAGTGAGCAGAGAGGGGGTTTGTACTGGGGGGGGGGGGAAAGGCCAAGGGGATTTTTGTGGTGGCTCCAGGGAGTCTGGTTCTTTCGGCTGTGATGGTTGGAACAGGGAGCCCCGAGCACCCGATTGCTCAGGGAACAGTGAGAACATCATCCCCAGCACCCACCCTGGGTGCATCGGCACCATCTGGTAGGTGAATCAGCCTGTAGACAACTTGCTGGCAGCTCTGTAGAGAGGCTCCCCCTCCCCAAGTCAGAGGTGAGATGAAACACGTGCTCTTTACATCTCCACCAGCCACCTCACCCCACCCCTGTCACCACAGCAGCTCCCTTCCAAAAAAAAACCCCAAACAAACCCAAAAAAAACCATAGAAAAATGCCCACGTGAGTTGCAGCACGTGGGTTCACCCACCTCCTGGTGCTGGACCACCCCGTGATCCACCTAAAGTGCCAGAAGTTCAAAGTTAGATTACATCCTCATAATGTTCCTCCTCTCCAGCCTTAAAAAAAAAGAGGTGAGAGGAGAAGGAAGATGGAGGAGGAGCAACAGCAAATCGCAGGAGGAAGCTGGAGGATGGAAATTCAAGCAGGTTGTGGTTTATTTAGGCCAACCCTTCCTGCAAATCCTTGGTGTGGAGATGACACAGCAGCCTCCTCTATCTCTGCCAGCTCTTGGTATTTCTGGTTACCAAGAGCCAGAAAAAAAGCCTTAAGGTGAGCCCTGAGCATCTCATCATCTCAAACAAGATCCAACCCTGAGCTCAGGACCACAAACACAAAGAGACAACGTACCCAGATGAAGAAAGCCATCAAATGCCACCAGCTGATGTAGAACCAGGACTTGAACTGTGTGACACAGTGGGACAGGAGATCATAGATGTACCAGGAACATCTTGGTAGATCCATATAAACCAGCAAAACCCTCACCTCCAGCTGCCCAACAGCCAGCACCGCATCACCTGCAGATGTCAACCTGCTCTTCTGCCACGACAAGGTCCAACAGTGACCTGCCCAGTGTCCCACCTGTCCCACCACTGCTCCTCATGCCCTCTCACTGCTTGGTAATTAAATTGCTGGAGGTAACGGGCTCTGGGCAGAGCTTTGCTGGGTGTTATCTGTGTCTAACGCTCAGCTCAAGAAGGAGCCTTGTTCTAAGAGCAGCTCACCCTCAGGTGGGACCCCAGATGCTTTGCAGTGAGGATGTCCACCAAAGGGACCTGGCAGTGCCTGGCAGAGTGGGGACAGTGTCTCACCTGTGCCCGGACCAGTGACTCAAAGCTGGGTTTGAAGTAATCGATGCGGCTGCTGTAAAACTTGGGCATTTCCTCCAGGAGCTGCTTGTTTTTGGCTTCAAAGTCCTCCTTCACCGGCCTCAGCTCTTCACGGGCCTGGGAGAGGAGAGAGGGTGGAGAGTCAGATACCTGGGAAAATGCCCTTCCCTTGGGCAGACCTGCACAGAGGCCACCCCAGGCCAGAGGACTGCTCTGCTTTGACCTGAGGACAACCAGCAACCAGCTAACAGAGACTGGTGGGACCAAGTGACCAGTTAACAGAGCCTGGTAGGACCAAGTAACCAGCTAAAGGAGACTGGTGGGACCCATGTGACCATCCAATGGTGACTGATGGCACACGACCAGCTAACAGAGCCTAGTAGGACCCAAGTGACCAGTTAATGGAGCCTGGTGGGACCCAAAAGACCAGCTAAAGGAGACTGGTGGGACCCATGTGACCATCCAATGGTGACTGATGGAACAAGACCAGCTAAGAGCCTGGTAGAACCCAAGTGGCCAGCTAATGGAGCCTGGTAGGACCCAAGTAACCAGCTAATGGA